TTCCTAAATGTGACTAATCAAGTTAACAGGTTTTTCTGACTCGACACTGGTTCAAGATAAGCTAAATCTAACTTGCGGCTAACTAAAAAAATCATTTCTGCCAAAGTGAGTGAGATGGCTGAGTGTCCAATCATGCATTCGAAAGGGCGCACTTTCTTGTCGGGATGGGGAAAGTTTTGCTTTGGGGCTATTATGAGGCAGGTGGTAACTCAAATTTAAAAGAGACTGTGCGTAAATTGCGTCGAAATTTTCAATAAATTCATTTCGGCCAAACCGAATGGAATAGAACTTGGACAAGGCGTGTATTGGAAATAGCACACATTAATCTGCGGATATTGAAAGTTTCGTCTTTCTGCGATATTATCGCCGACGATTCGAGAAGCCTTCCATCTTGGGCTGGACGTGTTTCTTTGCAAACGGCGCTTCAAAAATGTATTTTTGCACAAGTAAGCAATATTAAACCAAGTGGAGAGTTTGAGTATGAAAGTTTCGTGTTGGCACTATCATCAGAAATAAAACGGGTGCAAAAGTTTATTAATTAATTTTTGCTGGCGATGGATCGATGCCAAGTCATCTAGTGACATCCAAATGTGTCTAATGTACCCTTCGGGCACGAAACTGGTTTGAGAACAGAAATACTCTCCACTCGCCAGTGCCGTGCCGGAAGGGCTCGGCATAACCAATACTTTAGATACTTCGGGCTGTCGAAGTTGTGCTAAGCCCTTCGGGCACAACACTTGCTTCGGCAACATCTCAAACGCGCAAGTCACCATAGGGTTACCCAGGCCTAATGAGGACTTTGGTTGATGTGTTATTCAGCTTATAAATGGCATAACTTGTACTTGAAAATAAAATTTGGCGTTTATCTTTGATATCGTGTATTTCACCTCATTTTAAAAACTTGTATTTCTTATTATACAACTTTAACCAATTTTAGATCTAAAAGTTCCTGTGAATGATTTGGAAATTTTTAACATAAGGAGTAATGGACAAACGCAGGTCTTCATTGTAGTTCACGTGCCGGGCACGGGATTCGAATGGTACACTGTAACTGCTTTTGCAGTGGTAGGTTTAACCAAATTGCCTTTGAATGACTGGAGGGATTTAAATACAACTTTCCATTCTAGGAAAAATGTTGGACTTGGCCCATGGAACATGCTGTATCGACCTTTTTTGTTTCTAAAAATCAGAATAAATATTTTTTGTTTGCAAGTCTTTCCAGTAAGGATGGGACCCACTTTGTGGTCGCTTACCGCTTCAACATATCTACCAAAACATATTGGTGAGTAGAACTATAACAGGTTCCAAATAATAATCGTCAACCGAAATGTGATTATTTTATAATTAATTCTAGTTTAAATTGACGAGAAAGAATTTAAAACAGTAAAACTTAAAAATCTTTCTAGTGTGACAAATGATTATTGAGACAGTGGTTAAACGATCGTCATTGTTCCGGACACTTCGTATTTGAGAAAGTCTATCCTTCGTTGTCCGTCGATTTAATAATAGTTACCTTTCATTGAAAATAAAATATATATTATCATTTTAGCCCGTGAGTAGTCCTAAAATTTCTTTGAACGTTGCTGGTACAGTGGGGTTTCACGTTATCCATATAATTTAAGGTAAAAAAGATCTACCTATACAAAATTTCTGTTAATTTTCTTTATTATTTGCTCCATTATATATGTACTTAGTTTTGTGAAGAAGTGTTTCGCATTTTCGAAATATTTAATTAAAAAATAATTTCAATATTGTATCCATTTTATGCATATTTTCGTTAAACACTGTACCTTCTTCTTCGGGTGCCATGTGCTATGGCGCACGTCGGTTTGTTCATTTCATGGACACACAATAGCTGACTGTCCTCCTCAGCATGTCTTAATATGGTTGCGTCCAGTTTCTAATGGCTATATACGCGGCAGAACTGTTCCTTCGTTCCACGAATGCTTTTAGAACAACCTTTTAGTAGTACCAACCGGATTTACTTTGTGCCCAACAGTAATTTCCCAAAACTGAAATACAATGGAGTGAAAGTGGAAAGACGCAATTGCTGCGTTCTATACAAAACACACTATACAATACAATACAATACAATACAATACAATCATGGCTTCTCTGAAAAAAGTGACAGTTTTTGACTATTTTGAATAAAAAAGTATTATTGGGGTTTTTGTCGCATTTAATGAATTAATTTAAAAAATGCCACTGTACAAACGCTGTATTTGACCTGCATTTTTTTGTACCTGTACCTTTTGTCTGCATCTCGTTTCTTAATTCACATTTATAGCTTTGTTTCCATTCACCCTGATGCTAATAATTGCTAACATACAGGGTGGTTTCTTAGTGAGATAGAGTCCATTATTTCCGTTTTTGTTGAACTTACGAAAAATAGTTTCATATAAAAGTTGTTGACGCACAAAGTGCGCACATTTTAAAAATATCTTATATGATACCGAGTGTCTCAGAAAAACGAGGCAAGATCAAAGTGTATTTTTTTAAATAGAACTACCCATTTTCCAATAGCTCAAGGGATGCAGCTTGAAACGCTGCATATGCACCGTACAATGTTTTTTCTTGCTTGCGACGTTGGCAGATTATCGCCATTTTCGTAAAATTTTGTTTAAAAACATGGTATCTGGAATCATCATGGAATTCTATTGTACCAAAATATTAATACATTGTACATGGTGTTAACAATGTGGACTTCAATCTAAAACTTTTTAACGCAATGTAACTTTTGTTTTTTAAATGGAAGTACCTGTATATTAAAACGTAGTAGACATTTTACAAATTTACAAATTTGCGTTTACACTTTAAGCTGTGAAATCAGCCGTTTTCAAATTATATTTTATTTTATTTAAAATTTTCAAAAAGTTGCTGCATTTTGTAAGGTGCTATGGAAGTCGATAAATAAGTGTCAAAATTTGAATTGCCCACATTTAATGGATCATTTACCTAATTATATCAAGGAAATAATGTGATATTTACATAATGGAGCTCCAGTTCACCATGCAGCTCAAATTCATTAGTACCTAAATAATAAATTTCCTGAGAGGTGGATAGGTAGGCCTATTCAGTGGCCACCTCGTTCACCCGATTTGACGAAAATGGATTTCTTTTTATGGGCTTTCGTAAAAAACGAAATTTATAAAATAACTGCAAGTACAAAAGATGACATGGAGGAACGAATTACAACGGTTTTTCGAAGCATTTATAATATTGTTTTGAACTGCGTTAGTGATTTATTTCAAAAACGTAAATATTAATAGTTGCTTAAATGTTAACGGAAATCATATTAAACATTAATTTTAAAATTAAAATATCACTGTAGGTATAATTTCATATTTTTATTTTCATAGACATATGCAGTTTTATTGCATTTTTTGCTATTAAATCCCATGCATTTTRTAAAACGTTGCACTTTTCTTTTTCTATAATTCCAAATATCATCAAATTTTGACACTTATTKAATGAATTYCATAGCCACCTTACAAAATGTAACAACTTTTTGAAATTTTTAAATAAAATCATTTATAATTTGAAAACGGTTTATTTCACAGCTYAAMGTGTAAACGCAAATTTGTAACATTGTAAATTGTCTATCTAATGAAGTATTAATATACAGGTACTTCCATTTGAAAAACAAAAGTTATATTGCGTTATAAAGTTTTAGATTGAAGTCCGCATTGTAAACACCCTATACGATGTATGGATATTTTGGTTCAATAGAATTTTTAACGGATCTGTGCTGATTGGAAAGACGTATTTTTTATATTGTAACGGAAATGGCCTGGGGTACTCACGTTTGAAATGGAGGGATCAAAATTCATAGTATTTCAGTAAATGGGAGCCCCATTTGCGCCCCAAATCACTGTCAAATATGACACTGACAAGCGGGAAGTTTCGCACCTGTTCTGGAGATTTCGAGAACCATCTGGGTTACCTGAAGGAATCTATATAAGCGGCGAGGAGAACGAGACGGGGGAGTGAAGTGACAGGAGCGACCGGGTGCAGAAGAAGTTGAACCCCGTGAGTCTGAAGAGCGAGTTTTCCGTCTGTTATTGTTATTGTTTGTGAAGTTGACTGTAATTTTGAAGTTAGTTTGTTCCTGTTCCGCATTTAAAGTTATACCGAGGTGAATAAAAGTTGGAAGCTGAATAAAGAGTTAGATACTCGGCCATCCACGGTACAATATCTTTAACTGTTTTTTTTGCTTCTATAATTAATTTTTAGATACCATGTTTTTAAGCAAAATTTTCCTAAAATAGCAGTAATCTGACAACGGCGAAAGTACGAAACAAACAAGTTATGGTGCATATGCAGCGTTTCAAGCTGCACTCCATGAGCTAATGAAAAATGGGTAGTTCAATTTAAAAAAATACACTTTGATGTTGCCTCGCTTTTCTGAGACACTCTGTATCATATAAAATATTTTTAAAATTTGCGCATTTTGTGCGTCGACAAGTTTTATATGAAACTATTTTTCGTAAGTTCAACACGAACGGATATAATGGACTCTATCGCACTAAAAAACCACCCTGTATGTAGGCAATTTCAAGTTTATTTTTACGTTGGCGTTATGTTCCAAATTAGTTAATTAAATGCGATATAAATATAAAAAAACTTAAAAGTGATTTATAAATTATTATACAATAAAAATAAATTCTTAATTTTTCTCTGGCAAAGTCACTTATCAAATCGTCCAAATCAATCGCTCTAAGAAATCAATGCTTGACATTAAGCTTAACCAATCTAACGAGAGTTGAAAATAGAAACATAAATCAATTGTACTTAGTTTTAGGCGAAAGTTTAGTTTTAGTTTTTACAAATACGACGGCGTTTTGAGTTCGAAAATCGGATTTGTTGTGTTTCTTTATAATCTGTGCAGTGTGAGAAGTGGCAGTTTTAGATTAATTCGAATAAGAAAGAAGCATTAAGTTTGTGTATGTCTATATTTCATTTAGATAACTAATTTTGATCAGAACGCCAGTGTACAAATAAGCTTGGAAATGCCTACATATGTCCGCCTACATATTTTTTTTCAAATAACATCTGAAGCCTCTAACATTAGTAAATCCAGTTTTATACCTGACACTTTATCAATATTTAATTTTTGCGCATCTATACATGGTATTCTAATTTAAACGCTCGAAGAAAAATGGATTACGAAAATATTTATTATGTTTTCTATAATTTCATTTAATTTGAACGATACTAAGGAGATGCTCTCTAAGTGGTTACCAAGTTCGTGGAATTACAGCCGATATTGAAAGTCCAAAGTCGCGTGAGAACCCACCATGCCAGTTAACAGTTAAAACATTCAACATAAGTATAATAAAGTTAAAATTATATAAATACGTTAATTTAGTCGGCAATTAATGACCGAATGAGAAATCATATAAAATAGTGTAAATGTCAAGATTTGCCAACCTTTGGTCGTTGGCCAATTGTAGTGGGCGCAACTATTTTGCTATCATACAGCTTCAAAAATAGGTATCAGATTCCGATGCCTGAAATAAACAGATTTAATTATATTAAATTAAAAAACTTGAAATAGGCAAGTGCACATTTCGAAATCAGGCAACCTCAGGCACCCCCAGGACCGGTTTCTAGCCTATTAGCTCTAGTGAATTGGGTTTAACCTAAAATTAGTAACATTTAAACATATTGATTTCCAGACCAGGATTATACCTTCTTCCTGCTAGTTAGTCTACGGGTACCTTAAAAAGTAACATCATTTTTTTCTTCCGGTGAGGTTTGGGAAATGCTCTTTTATGCACTCCCAGAGCTGGTGGTCTGTCGCTCTGGTGTGTGTGGGACTCCAGCTAAGCTGTTTACCC